ACCCCTAAGATAAACCTGAGTACTCTAACTAGGTTCTTAATGCCTGTTTCATTTGTCCCCTGAACCCAGTTGTTGCTGCGTTCAATAAGAATTAGGTATGTGCTTTGGGTTTGGGAACGTTTACGCATGGGCACAGCTCTACGCAACCAAGATCAAGGTAAAAAACATTGTCAATTCTTCAGAAAGTGTCCCCTTGGCCTTTGCAAATCAAAACACCCCACCCTACTCCAGGAAAGCATGGTTCTGAGTTCACCATCAGTTCGTTCTGCCTATCCTTTAACTTCTTGCAAATGGAATCTCACAGTAGGGACTCCTTTTGTCTGTCTTTTTTCATTCAACATTAATTATGTGAGATTCCTGTAAGCTGGTGCATATAGCAGTAGTTTGTTCTATTTGATTGGTGTGTGTGAATTCCATTGTGTGAATATGTCACAACTTATCTATACTCAGTCGTCAGCATTTGTCTTGTTTCCGGTTTGGGGGTATTATGAATAAAGCTGCTTTGAACATTCGTCTACATTTCTTTGGATGGACTTAGGCACTCATTTCTCTTGGGTGTTAGGAGTGGAATTCCTGGGTGATAAAGGAGACACACAAGCTTTTAGTAAACACTCCTAAACAAGTTTTCCAAGTTTTTGTCTCATTTTACACCCACATCACCACTCTATCCTACTTCTTGCCTTAAGTGGATAGAGATAACTTTTAGTTATGAAAAAAAAATTCTTTCTTTCAATTACTCTACATTCCCAGCCCTCATGCTCAAATCAAGGTTCTATCAGTTACTATTCATCTTGGCTTGTACCTGTTGTTCCCTGTACCTGGAACACTCTGCCATCATGGATTCCTGTGGCCAGTTTTTTCTTGTCATTCAGGTCCCAGCACAAAAGACACATCCCTGGCGGGCTTTTCCCTTACCACCCCACCTAAATGAGTGCTTCTGCCCCCTACCTAGTCACTCACTGCTGCATCACGCTGCTTTATTTCCTTTCTGATCCAGTCTTCAGATGACATCATTATAGCTGACGTCTGGACCTCAACCTCATGAGAGACCTTGAGCCAGAGCCACACACAAAATGGGACAGAAACTTTGAAAACAGTGGAATTAAACCACTTCCACATTCCTGACTCACAGAAACTGTGAAAACATTCACGTTTATTGTCATTTTACACTGCTAAGTCTCGGAATAATTTGTACGCAGGAATATTTAACCAGTACTAGCTCTTAGTAAATATTTGTTGAACAAATGAATCAACAAATGAATGAGTGAATTTGATTAAGAGCAGCTTAAGACATGGCTTCACACTGTCTGCTCTAACCTGATCGGTATGCCTGGGCCATGGACCCCTCCTCAGTTCTATAAGTTTTAGTTTAAGCTTATGATCCTAGAGCACCTCAGCACTATTAACAACATGTAACTTGCTTCCCCCCCAAAAATATAAGCAAATAATACATACTTAAGCAAAGTACACCTATACATAAAACAATCCTTTTAAGTAAATAGCCCAAGTAATATATATTGTTGTTAGATGTGGAAAAAAAAGATAACACCATGACCAATTAAAATTCAACCTCTGAATTTAAATAAAATATTGAGGTGATTACTCCCATGAGCCTCCCTTTGGAAGAGGAACAGAAATTACTCTTAACAGTAGAGCAGTCCAAGAAAAAGTCTTCCTAAAATACACCTTTGCATTTCCTGTTCCCTCTAGCCGGTAAGCTTTCTCGAGAGTCATTCGGCTTGCTTGCTTACCTAGTTCAGGTATCTCCTTAAATATCTCCTCATCAGAAAGGCCTTGTAAGACCAACCTTTAAAAATAGCACCTTCCGCAATCTGGCATTCCTTATCCTGGTTAGCATTTATCATGGTCACATGCACTGTGTATTTCATTTTTCCTTCTTGTCTGCATCTGCACAACTCAAATGTCAGTTCCAAAAGGGCAGGGATTTGGGTTTATTCGTTGCTGCATCCTTGGCCCTGTGCCTGCTGCCTACCACTAGATAGGTACTCAATAGTATGTGTGGAATTAGCAAATGAATGGAAGTGGTGGGTGATGGGCAGGAAGGTGTCAAATGCCAAGGAGGGCTCAGCATGTTCCCCGGGGACAGGTGGGGGAGAGAGACCTTTCACTGCAATTATATTGTACCTTTTGCATTTTGAATCCTGTGAAAGTAATAGTTGCTTAAAACAATTAAAATTTAAAAGAAAAACATAGTCAGTTCCCCTTGTTGACCAAATGGGACAAATAATGCCTGCTCTACTATCTCAGCATTATTTCACATGAGTGCCACACTCAGGTTTTTTCACCATGTCTCATTTACCCTTCGTGTAAAACTGGCTTGGGTTGTTATTGTTTGCACAACATAAAATAACAGGTTGTTTGGGATCCTCATTCCTCATTTTGAGAGCCTCTGGGTCTCTCTTTGAATCATGTGTCAGTGTTTTTTCAAGTATTTTATATCATATATAAGAAAAAAGACTAGCAAAACTATCACTGCGTCTTATCTGCAGTTATGAAAAATAATTATTTTAAGTATTTTATATCTATTAACTTGATAGCTACTTTCTGAGAAAAGTGAAGTGTAAATTCAAATTTTGTAAATCAAAGAGTTTAAAGGTATCATGGAGACATTCTAAGATGATTCTGTGGAGAATGTTTTTATTTGAAAAAAATGAAAAAGGATCCTTCTACAAAGCAAGTAGTATCCTTATGGTATTATTATTTATAATAAGAAACATGAATTTGGTCTTCTTTCTAGCACCCTGGTCCTAAAATTGTTGGAATTGCCTAAGTGGTGAGAGTGATAAAGGTGTCTTTTGTTGTGTTAGCTGACACCTTTGTCACTAACGAGTGAATTCTGGCCCTCACTTAAGGAACGGGGCTGGTCGTCAGGAGAACCAGCCCTGTGATTACAGGCTTGGGACTATAGGTTCCACTCCGCTCAAGAAAGAAGAGTGGCTGGAGGTTGAATATGTTGCCAGTGGCCAATGGTTTAATCAGTCATGCCTGTGCAGTAAAGCCTCCATAAAAACCTAAAGGATGGTTTTTGCACCTTTGCCCATACCTTAACCTATATGTCTCTTCCATCTGGCAGTTCTTGACTTAAATCCTTTTATAATAAACTGGTGATCTAGTAAATAAAATGTTTCTCTGAGTTCTGTGAGCCACTCTAGCAAATTAATTCAACCCAAAGAGTGGGTCTCTGATCTGTAGCGCATCATTCAGAAGCACAGATGACAACCTGGGCTTGAGACTATATAGAGTCTGAAATGGGAGAAGGGGGGCAGCTTTGTGGGACTGAGCCCTTAATCTATGAAAGCTGATGCTATCTCAGGTAGACAGTGTAAGAATTGAGTTGAATTGTAGAATATCCAGCTGGTACCCAAGAATTGCTTGGTGTAGCAGAAAAACCCAAACACACATTGGAATTGGGTGCACAATTATAATTCTTATTCTGTCTTGGCCTATCCTTATCCTATCCAAGCTACACACAAGCATCACAAATCTGGCTTCTTGAATGACATGATTAAAAGTACAAAGGGCAGAGTGGAATCAAAAAGTTCCTCAAATACATCTGTCTACTCGCTGCATTTGAACTCTGGTGGGCAGAATACATGCAATGGGGAGTAAAAATGGGTAAACACATAAGTGAATGAGTGAAAGAACAGAGAGTAGGACTGCCTTATGGCAAAGCAAATGTAGAAGTTGACTGTACAACATCACATCTTTTTGGACCTTAGTGCAAAGGAGCAAAATGGTACAGAAAAATATTATGCAGAAAATAATCACTTTAGGTGACTTTGGGGTAGCTTGATAATTTTTTGGGATGCCATAAACATGCAGCAAAACAAATCAGCCTGACATTCAAAATTTAAAGATGTGACAGCTCCTCTTGTGGGAAAAATAACTATGGTTATAAGAGGAGGCAAACTGGATATGTTCAAGGTTTACAAAGGTTGCCCAAACCAAGAAGTAAGGGAGAGTTCAAGGACAATCCTCATCTTTTCATCTACTTCTACAAAGAAGAAATAACCAACAGAACTGTCATCTTGAAATTCAAAGGACATACTCTAAAGGAAGCCATATGCTTGGACCACCTGTGGTGATTGAGTAGCAAAGGACATCACACATCAGGGGACAAAGGGGCGTCTAGGTCCCATTGCTCCTTGGACAGTCCAGTGCAGCAGGGGAGAGCAACAGCTGTGTCCTTTAGCAGGTAGCCTGAGCACCTGCTTCAACCTCTCCTTGCGCACTTAATGTTTGAGTCTTCCAAGACAAAAGTACTGAGTTGGTTTGTCCCCATTCAAAATGGGACAGTTTCACATTAAGCCACCTCCAGCCTGTGTAGGGCTGCCTTGTGTCGTGGGTCAATCCCCTGGCCAGTCTTATCAGTTGCAACTAAGGAGCATGGTTGGTCACTCAACATAGACGGCACAAGCCATGGCAACTTATACAGAAAATAATGAGGCTACTTTCAGCAAAAGGCAGCTGTGGGTAAGGTTATATTCCAACCAAACTGTGTCTATTGATGGCAGTGCTATGCTAGTTATCACGGTATCTTTAACCTCTCTTCTGTATATCTGACTAATCACCAACACTTGTCGAGACTTCTCTAAAATGTCTGTCAGATTCTTCCATTCCCCTCCTCTTACCCAGATAGGCCTGTGTTGCTCAGAGCCCTCTTCAAGGTACGACTTGCTGCCCCACTGCAGAGTGTGATTGTCCAGCCTCCAGCTGTCTGCTCCTTCAAAGTCAGCTTTCCAAGTCAAGGTCACAGGCTAAGGTGGTTCCCTAGCCAATGACTGAGCGAATGGTGGTGGAAAGGCTTAACCACTTTCCACCCACCCAAGGCTCCTCTACGGGCAATCCGGCAGAGCTCCTCATGGGCCTAGCAGACTGGCAGGTCAGATCACCTTCTGACTGCTCTGCCTGCCCAGTTCTGCTTCTTCCCCTTTTCTTTTATAGATCTTAACCACCCAATAAACGTTTTGTGCTCCCAGCTCCTTCACGGCATCTACTTCCTGGGGAACCTAACTGCAAACATTGCTCCATCCTCCTAACCCTGAGGGAACATTGGACTCCACTGCAAGATGTTTGTGTAGTTTGAAAACGTCTCCCAAGATCCTGTTCCCATCTCAGTGATCCTGACATTTCCCGTGGGGATCAGTGTAAAGTACCACGGCTTTTTCCTAAAGAGGAGAGGCGTGAAGGAAACACCAGTGGTGTGCTCAAAACATGAACAACTACCATGTGGAAAAAATGAAAAAAATGAGAACAAATCAACAGGTTTGCTTCAGTGTTGGAATTTTTTTTCTTTTCCCTTTTTATTTTTTTAAACAATTAGTAGCATTGAGCAATAGAATTAGTTGCTGCCTAAGTTAGGAAACTCCTGTCATGGAGCTATTCAAAATGCTAGATTCACTGAATGAGTGATTGGGCCAAATGAGTTCTAAAGACCGGGTTCTATGATTATAACACAAATTCAACATTCTTTGCAGCAGTGGCACGAAGAACTGTCTTTGACTGTAATAGTTGACTATCTACTTAGCAGGACACTGTCTTAAGCAGATGTTACTTAAAGTTATTCCAATATATCTGTTTACAATACTATCCATTCTATACCAAATCTGTGTACTCTCCCAATAGGTGAAGTCTTAAAAGCATACATAAAAGGATTGACCTACAAGCACACACACACACACACACACACACACACACACACACACACACACACACACACAACTTAGAAGCAGGGAGCTCTTGTTCCTGTAATTTCCTCTCCCTATCACAGGTTTGGAATTCTTTGATCTTCAGGTCATGGAAAATGAATTATCTATTTCCTTGAGCTTTTGCCCAGGTAGAAGCCAGACTAAAATGGAAAAAGGAAACCATTAAGAGGTTGTGTTGCAAGGAATTTTAATTTTGGAAACAGTAATCAGAATTATAGTTTGAAAATTAAAATTTTAAAGAGCTCGAAGGTGAGAAAAACTTATAAGGATAATACTCAAATTTGTTCATTACTTCTCAGTATGATAATAAAAATCAGAGTTACATTAACAAATAAACCAATATTAGTTTTCTGTACTAATCCTTGGGAACCTTTTGCTATTTTTTAATACAATGGAATAACTATTTGGAGTAAGTCAGCTTCTAGATCTTAGATCCTGTAGGGGAGAAAACCCCAATATGCTCAACAAGTCACATCGTGCTCAAGTGTGACATTCCAATAATTTAAATGAATAATATCTGGAATGATATCTGCAAACAAAACTGAAGGTAGGTTTAAGGCAAGGTGAGTTTTAGATAAGGTAAATCTCAGAACACAAAAAATATATAGCTGGGAGGCAGGAGACGATAGCAGTCAGACACCAGTATCAGACTCTGACTTTGGTTTGAGTTCAATCTCTGCCTCTTCCTAACTGAAGAATCTTCAGCAAGTTACTTCACCCTTGTATGTCTGTTTTCTGTAAAATAAGAATAAGGAAATCTACTGCATATTAATTTTGTGAGAATTCATATGTAAAGCACTTAGCACACAGCTTGGCATACAGTGTCTAATTAATGAAAACAATCTATAACAAAGTCCTTAAAATAAAAACCTGATCACAATTATCACTTCTAATTTTTTTTTGGTATCATTAATGTACAATTACATGAGCAACATTATGGTTACTAGATTCCCCCCATCACCAAGTCCCCACCACATACCCCATTATAGTCACTGTCCATCAGTATAGTAAGATGCTATAAAATCACTACTTGTCTTCCCTGTGTTGTACTGCCTTCCCTGTGCCACCCCCCCTACATTATGTCTGCTAATCGTAATTCCCCTTTTTCCCCCTTCTCCCTCCCTTCCCACCCATCCTCCCCAGTCCTTTTCCCTTTGGTAACTGTTAGTCCATTCTTGGGTTCTGTGAGTCTGCTGCTGTTTTGTTTCTTCAGTTTTTTCTTTGTTCTTATTCTCCACAGATGAGTGAAATCATTTGATACTTGTCTTTTTCTGCCTGGCTTATTTCACTGAGCATAATACCCTCTAGCTCCATCCATGTTGTTGCAAATGGTAGGATTTGTTTTCTTCTATGGCTGAATAATATTCCATTGTGTATATGTACCACATCTTCTTTATCCATTCATCTACTAATGGACACTTAGGTTGCTTCTATTTCTTGGCTATTGTAAATATATCACTTCTAATTTTTAAGTAACTAGCTTAAGTTGTAGACTAGAACAGGCTGAAATATGAGAATAATAGTTATTTTGATAACTATTATAAAATAGCCATATGAATTATATAAATTATAAATTAATTATATATTAATAGATAATATTTATTGAATTTTTAAATTGTAATGAATGGATTATATTAATATAAATATTATTTATTGAACTCTTCTATAAGACAAACATAGTGGCAGATACTTCATTTACATATCACTAATATTCACATTATATCTGGTATTTTTATCTCTATTTTACAGATGAAGAAACTAAAGATCAGAGGGTCAGAGAGGTTGCAAGTGACTCTATAACTCAGTCTCTTCACTATACCATACTGCCTCTAAGAGTTGTGATGCAATCAAATTAATCTGTAAATTAAATATATTTTAAACAATGTAGTCAATTGTTGATTTCATAACATTCCTGTCAGATGTCATGCAACTTTTGTTGGAATATTTCCAGTGATGGGAAGTGTATTCTCTTTGAAGCAACACATTTCACTGCCAAAGAGCTTGATGGCTACAGAATTCTCCTTTCTTTTAGTAAAATGTGCTTTAATGGTTGATTTACAGCAGTGAAAGTAGAGGAATTGCCCTCTATTTCAGTATGTATTAGAGTCTTCCCTGGACCCTGGTCGCAAATCTGCTACTCGTCTTCAATCTTCATGAATAAAAGGAAAAGTGAGGTAGAAGAGTCCACTGCCCTCCAGGACCCTCTCTAGAACTGCTACCCTCCTGGATTTGTGGCACTTACTACCACAAACATAGCAGTCAAGTATGATGACCAAAATATCATGTTCACTTTAATTCACTGAAGTATGAGCAGTAAGCACTATGTTTCTTAGTTATTCCTTTGTATACCCTCCTTTAAACAATGTAGTGCTACACATGGAAATCCAAATATATACACCAGATACATTAGAAAAGTTGTTCTCATTTTTTTGTTTGCTTAAACTACTTTTGTTTCTTAAAGACCTAAGATCCTTTGAAGCTGGGAAGAACCACTTCAGGATCCCAGGGGGGGAAAGCTCCCCCAAAATACTTATTTGGTGTTTCTGAAACTCACAACCAAGAAAAAAAAAAACAAAAAAACTCCAACAATTAAAAATGAGGAAGAGATACAAAAATATACAAATGGCAAATAATCACATGAAAAAATGCTCAACATCATTAGTCATTAGGGAAATGCATTTTAAAACCACAATGAGATAGCACCACATACCCACTAGTGTTGCTATAATCAAAGACACTAACAATACTAAGTGTTGCAAAGGATGTAGAACAACTGGGAGAGAAAGCTTTGGCAGTTTCTTATAAGATTAAACATACACTTACCATGCAAAATCTCAGTCTCACTCTTAGATACTTAGCCAAGAGAAACACAAGTGTATGTCCACACAAAAGCTGGTATTTAAGTGTTCACAACAGCTTTCTTCATTATAGCCACAAGTAAAAAATCCCACCAAATATCTGATGACAGGTGAATGGATAAAGATACAGTGGTATATCCACAATGGAATGTTATTCAGTAATAGAAAGGAATGAAATAAATAGACCCACACAAATACACCCAACTGATTTTTTGGTAAAGGTGCAAAAGCAGTTCAATGGAGAAATGATGGCCTTTCCAAAAAATGGTGCTAGAGCAATTGGACATCTATAGGCAAAAAAAAAATGAACCTCAACCTAGAGTCATAGGATCCTTGACAGGTATACAGAATATATAACAATTTTAGGGCTATTTATACCAAAAAGAACTAAATGACAAAACCCCAAATTAGCAGGGCCTTCATTATATACATTTCTCCTTACGGACAACCACCACCATGCAAGTTAGGGTTAAGCACATCAGTTCCCAGAAGTTACAAGAGCCCCAAGCTCCTTCTGCATTGCTGCTCCACTTTCTTTGGTGTTCTAACTTGGTCCACATTGGCTGTCCACATTCTCACTATGCCTATATTTTGGCCAGTAGGAAGGGGAAGGGGCAAAAAAGCAGTGGGCATTCTTTCTTTCCCTTTGTGGACACTTCTCAGAAGTCTTACATGAACACCTCATATCCCTTGGCCATTACTTATTTATAAGTCCCACCCAGCTGGGTGGGCAATGAGAAATGTGGTCTTCATTCCAGGTAACATTATGTTTAATTGAATATCAAAAATTCTATTAATATTACTAAGAAGAAAGGAGAAGGTATATTGGAGAAGACCGCAGACTCTTCCACAGGCCACATGTATGTTTTCTTCTTCAGAGATTCTCAAGCCTCTATCTTTCTGAAAAGTCTGAGCAAGAAATATGACTTTTCTGTAAAAATCTAAAACCCCCAACACTCGTTAACTGATTTATCATTCATTCAATAAACATAAATACTTTCAAGAGCTGTGCTAGGTTCTAAACTGTTAAGATAAAAATACACTGTTAAGGGGAAAAAAATCCCTCATTATTAGTAGCAATTAAAAAACATTATTATTAATCTGTAGTTTTTAAAGTATATCTGCTTTTTTAAAAAGATCTATAAAACTGATCTAAGCAACAGGGATTAAATATTGACATTTAAAAATATTAGATTTTGTTATTTGTTTTTTTATTTGGATATATTTTTAGAAATACACTTGAAGTTGATACTTTGATTTTAATAGCCCTTTTATCATTTGTGTATTAAGTTTGTCCCCTGAATCAAGTAAATATTTCAAAAATGATAATATCCCATTTATTTTCAGTAGTTATTCATAACTGGATTATCCAGGTCTGTTTTTCTTCTCCTGTTACTCCCTATCTCGTTTCATCACTAACTAAATCTATATCAGGGTCCTTTGCAGAGAAATGAACATAAAGAAAACTTACTCAGTTTTTCTAAATAAATACTGAGGATGTGTTTATCAGTGAATTTCATTTACTTATGTTATTTATTATTCATATTTAGCAGTAGTCAACGTAGGGTGAGGGCCTCCGGGAAAAACTAGGCAGGATATTTACAGTCAGAGCAATGTAAGAATGTGCTAAGAAGTCTCTATCAAAACTCTGTGTTAGCATTATGCAAAGTCAAGGTCACACTAATTCTCTAGGGTAAAGATAACAGACTACGAATATAGACATCTTCATTGAGATCAGTTAAAGCTCAAAAGGCCAGGAGCAACTTGGCCTGGAATGTTTGAGTCTTCTGCAAATAAAGAAGGGTATCTGGCATAACCCAGGACTTCACCGTAAACAGCCCTAGCAAACAGACAACAACTCAGCCCACCTTGGGGGCAGGGCAGGTGGTACAACTTTGCACCCCTAGCCCTTAGCCACATTCCTGAAAATCCTTAGTGGACTATAAATCCCCTAGACAACACACCATCACGGGCTCTCTTGTTGCCTCCTGGCATGAACCAGGAGCTCCGTCCTCTCACTGTCCTCTCACTGTATTTCTCAATAAAAGCCTCTCCCTCGCTCTTCTACCTTGGGTATTTGCTAAGTTCATTCTTTGACTCGTAAACAAGAACCCCGGCATCATTAGTTATCTCCAATAGTTCTCTTTTTTAAAAAAATCAATTTATTTGTTATTTTTCCATTCAACCAAACTTTACCAGTTACCTACAAAGAAGTGGGTAACATATTTCTTTCCCACCAAATGTGATTCTACTGTGGTCCAGAAGTGTTTGTTTCCATTTTTCCTCTCAGCACCTGTTACATCTGGTATTTAAATAGCTATTCAAAAAACATCTGTTCAAGAATAAATAAAGAATAAATGTGGTCTTTCCAGAACTCAGATCCACTGGTATTGTTCTGCTTTCCTAAAGATAATGAAAACCATCCATAGTGATGTTGAATGTTTCACTGACATTCCAGAATTCCCTGGTCCTGATAATATTTATTTGCCTTTCTAGAAAGGCCGAGATGTCTCAGCAAAGGAGAATAGTGGGATATGATATTCAAAGCCTCATCATAGAATGTGCTCTCCATTCTGTGATTTCATGCAGAAGACATTATGGTGTTTTCTCTGAATTTAGTGTTCCCTTTATTCTCAGTCAAGTCCAAAACCCATTTCTACCTGACTTCTCTCAACTTACTCTGATAAAATAATCAAACCTTTCTTTGTCAGCAGCTCAAGGTTAATTGTTCTTTCTAAAGCTTGACCTCTGTACTCTTTCTAATCCCTTCCCTCTCATATCTACAGATGCTGCCTAGCTGACATATTTTAACTTATTTATGCTTTTTGCATGCATAAACTATTGCTAGCTTTCACTGCTGTTCTAGGAAAGTCACAAAAGGAAGGTGACCTCATCTTATAAACTGCTTAAATACATCTTTTTACAAATGGTGGGTTAGAGAAAGAATTCGACACATGTATCCTTTCTTTCTACTGGTCACTTACTGATTAAATGGTATCTACAGTGTTACTTATTCATTTTTTAGTTGTTCAAGCCTGAAGCCTTCTATTATTAGCCCCACTGAAAAATCAATGTTTAACAAATAAGTGAGGCATTAACTATGAAAGCTAATCATGTCAAAAACACACATCTGACTTAGCCAGAATAACCACGTCATATCCTATTGTGTGGGTTTGGTTTGAATATCCTATTAAGTTGCTGAAATATTGAAATATTTCAGGGATTCCTGAGGATTTCATGGCTAAGAAAGTGTGTGAATGCCTCCTAAAAACAACTTAAGGTTGAGAGCAATTGCCCCAGAGGAAGGACCAGGGAAACTAGAATACAGAAATTCTGTCTGTAGGTCCAGGAAAAATTTTATATCAAGTCCCGGGAAAACTGCCAGAAATCCACATTGCCCTTGATTCCTTTTCCAGATGCCTATTTTGCTAGAGGGGGGACATTTTTCTTTTAATGTCTTCTTATATATATATACATTCTTACTGTATTTTAAACCTTTAATGAATTCCAAATGTTCCCTTTTGCTTATTCTTGGGTATTCAGAACTGAAATACAAGCCAGAAAGGAACAAATTCTTCTTCTGACCTTTCTACTCCCTGATTGCTGCTGATCACTTTCAAATTGTAATTAGACACTTCTGAAACTGTGAGCTCCAGGCTGCCTTTACCTTCCTCAAGCCATTGTCATGTGGTGGCTCGCTACACTGGATGATAGGACAAGATATTACCTGCACTTTTCTCATTTTTCTTTGTACATATGAGTATCTACACTGGATGATAGGACAAGATATTACCTGCACTTTTCTCATTTTTCTTTGTACATATGAGTATCTGTCATATGAAATGATTGCCTGATTCTGGTGTTGTAAAACTGTGCCTTCAATTCTGCACCACTAATCTCAATAACTTCCAAAAGTTCTTCTAATGCTTACCACCAAAATAAAGTCTTTACCTTTATTTACTAAATATAAAAATATAATACATTTAAAAATACCAAGAGAATGAGAAGACAAGGCAGACTCAGAGAAAATA